GTGTTGCGATCTGTCCATTAACCAATCAATCCATCGTCCATATACAACAGAGCACGTCAATAGAAGCAAATCTATTGACGTCGGTGACAGTCATATGCAAATAAGAGCGCGTTGTCTACATGTACCACTATGCATATACACAACTACACATCAGAAAGAATACATTGACAAATATCCATATAGACGTACTAAGAAAAATAGGAGGCGATTTATATATTAAAAAAAATGTAGAATTATCAAAACTATCACAATTCACATTAGTTTAAATGATGTTGACTTCATGATAACTGACATGATTAACAAGAAAATGCATAATTGGTCACCAAGATATGGAACACAGGGATATATTGTAGTATTCACACTACGAGGTATTCAACTTCTCGGTGTATATACACTTTGAACTTTTGGCCTGGTTGATACCTGGTTGATGGGGTTCTGGGAGTTCTTCTACTCCCCAAGCCCGGCCCGAGGCCAGGCTTGACTTGTGAGAGTTTGGTCCACCAGGCTGTTGCTTGGAGCGGCCCGCAGGCCCACATACCCACCACAGCCCGGTTGGTCCGGCACTCCTTGAAGGAAACAATCTAGTTTCCTCTTGAAGATGTCCACGGTTGTTCCTGTAATATTTCTGATGCTCGCTGGTAGGACGTTGAACAACCGTGGACCTCTGATGTTCATACAGTGTTCTCTGATTGTGCCTATGGCACCTCTGCTCTTCATTGGTTCTATTTTGTATTTTCTTCCATGTCGTTCACTCCAGTACGTTGTTATTTTACTGTGTAGATTTGGGACCTGTCCCTCCAGTATTTTCCATGTGTATATTATTTGGTATCTCTCTCGTCTCCTTTCTAGTGAGTACATTTGGAGAGCTTTGAGACGATCCCAATAATTTAGGTGCTTTATCTCGTCTATGCGTGCCGTATATGTTCTCTGTATTCCCTCAATTTCAGCAATCTCTCCTGCTCTGAAGGGGGAAGTGAGTACTGAGCAGTACTCAAGACGGGACAACACAAGTGATTTGAAGAGTACAACCATTGTGATGGGATCTCTGGACTTGAATGTTCTCGTAATCCATCCTATCATTTTTCTGGCTGACGCAATACTTGCTTGGTTATGCTCCCTAAACGTTAGGTCGTCTGACATCATTATTCCCAAATCCTTGACATGCTGTTTTCCTACTATGGGCAGATTCGATTGTGTTTTGTACCCTGTATTATGTTTAAGATCCTCATTTTTGCCGTATCTGAGTACCTGGAATTTATCACCGTTAAACATCATGCTATTTTCTGCTGCCCAATCGAAATCTTTGTTAATATCTGTTTGTAGTTTATCAATGTCTTCAGCAGAGGTAATTTTCATGCTGATTTTTGTATCATCTGCAAAGGATGACACGAAGCTGTGACTTGTGTTTTTGTCTATATCTGATATGAGAATAAGGAACAGCAGTGGTTCAAGGACTGTACCTTGAGGTACAGAGCTTTTAACTGCGCTCGGATTCGATTTTACTTGATTGACTATTACTCTTTGTGTTCTGTTCGACAGGAAATTGAGTGTCCATCGTCCTACTTTACCAGTTATACCCATTGACCTCATTTTCTGTGCAATCACTCCATGGTCACATTTGTCGAATGCCTTTGCAAAATCTGTGTATGCGACATCTGCATTATGTTTTTCCTCTAATGCCTCAGTGATTTTGTCATAGTGGTCAGGTAGCTGTGAGAGGCATGATCTTCCTGCTCTAAATCCATGTTGGCCTGGATTGTGGAGGTCATTAGTTTCCATGAATCTAGTGACCTGACACCGGATCACTCTCTGAAATACTTTTATTATGTGGGACGTTAGTGCAACTGGTCTATAATTCTTTGCCAATGCTTTGCTACCACCCTTGTGTAGAGGGGCAATGTCTGCTGCTTTAAGCGCATCTGGTATCTCCCCTGTGTCCAAGCTCTTCCTCCACACTATACTGAGTGCCTGTGCTACTGGCACTTTGCATTTCTTTATAAATATTGAATTCCATGAGTCTGGACCCGGGGCTGAGTGCATGGGCATATTGTCAATATCTCTTTCAAAATCTGCCATGCTCGTGTTGATATCAGTTATATTTACAGGTGTTTGAGTATCATTCATAAAGAAATTGTCGGAATCTTCCACTTTCATGCTGAGTATCGGAGTGCTAGACATGTCCTCATACTGCTTTTTTAGGATTTCACTAATTTCTTTGTCATCCTCAGTGTATGAACCTTCACTAATTACGAATAGGTCCAATACTGGCAGTGGTTTTCGCTTTTGATTTAGCATATGTGAAAAAATATTTTGGGTTTTTCTTTATTTCTTGAATTGCTTTCTGTTCTAGTTGCCTTTCGTCAGTCTGATAGGAATGCTTCTGTCTCTGTTCGATTTCTTCAATCTCCCTGTTTAAATTATTTCTTCTCTGTATGGAGAGTCGTGTCTGCTTAAGCATTTCCGTTAATTTCTTCCTCCTTTTGTAATGTCGTCTGCGTTCTCTTTCTACATTGGACCTCTTTCTGGCTTTCCTCAAAGGAACATATTTCAGACAGACTTCATATGCTTCAGAAGTCCGTTTTTCTATTCCTTGTGTAGGATTTTTATTTCTTAGAACATTTTCCCATTGAATGTTTGTAAGTTCCCTGTTTATTTTCTCCCAGTCTCTTATTATTAAAATTGAATTTATTGAATAGCCCTTCTCGCTTGTTGTTTCTCTTGGGCCTACTACCGTTATTAATGTTAGTTTGCACTTCAATGAGCTTGTGGTCCGAGTACGTAGTGTCTGAGATAGTAATGTCTCTGATTAGCTCCTCATTGTTCGTGAATATCAGGTCCAGCGTGTTTTCGTTCCTAGTTGGTTCTGTAATCTGCTGACTGAGCGAGAATTTGTCACAGAATCTCAGTAGTTCTCCGACCTGTGGTTGGTTATTTCCAGGTTGACTTCCTGCTATGATGTTATTGTTTACTAATCTCCATTGTAAACTGGGTAGATTGAAGTCTCCAAGGAAGATGATATCTGGTACTGGGTTTGCTAGGTTATCAAGGATATTCTCTATTTTGTGGATCTATTCAGTGAATTCCTCAACTGTTGCATCTGGCGGTTTGTATATTAAAATAATAAGTAGATTCATATTTTCAACCTTGATTCCAAGTACCTCTACCACCTCATTGGACGAGTTCCGGAGCTCTGTGCATGCCAGCTCCTCTTTAATATACAGACCTACTCCTCCACTTGACCTAATTGCTCTGTCACATCTATATAGATTATAATTCGGAATCCAGATTTCACTATCCCTGTGGTCTTTTGTGTGGGTTTCTGTAAATGCACCAAATATTGAGTTCGATTCTATTAGGAGGCCATTTATGAACTTAACTTTATTTCTTGATTTTGGTTTCAAGCCTTGTATGTTTGCAAATATGAATGATTTCCCACATTGCGTGTCACTTTTGGTGGGCTTTGGTAGTTCTCCCCCACTCTACCCCGGTCCAGGGAGTGTTGTTTTGGAAGTGATTCGTCCAGTTTTGGTAGTAGGACGGGTGTTGTGTGGTGTAGTACCTGTGTGTTTATTGATAATTTGTATTCCAGTCTTGTGGGTATCTCCCTTCCCCTTTGAAATCCTGTAGTGGTTCCATCTGACTGTTCCTCTCTTATATTTACTACTCTGGTTCTGCCTTCCTCTAAAAAATTTCCAGTAGTGTCATATGGATCTTCCCGTCTATAACGCTGTGTACCTCTCACGTGGAATTTCGGACACTGAAGATTGTAACATTTTTTATCCCTAATTGAAAATTGACATAATTTAGGGTGAAAGTATCTACACCCTGTCCCAAAACGGCATGTACCCCTCGCCAACATGTTCCTGCATTTTCGAGGATGCAGAAAATTGCATTTTGCTCCTAATTTTTCATATTTGCAAACTCCTTTAGCGTAGAATTTGCAAATATGTTCCGGTTTTGCGTTTTTCAAGGTAGTTATACCTGTGTCTGTCTTGTCTACCTCTTTATTGGAGCCATCTCCATCTCTTGTCCCAATTCCTTCATTTATGCACTCTGTCTCACTGTTGCTCTCATCGTTTATATTACCTGGCTCTGTAATATTGCTGTTATTTTGTACCACAATACCCTCTTCCTCCACACTACTGCTGCGGTTCTCTAAACTATCTGTTCCTGAGTTTTGGTCGTTATCCAATGTTGTCTTTTCCCAGTCCGCATAAATCACTGGTAGCTTGTCTGTGAATGATAATCTCTGTGACTCGGGAATGTTTTTCATCAGTTTAGTTATGTTCTCCAACATTAATCTGTCATCTTTGCAAACCCAGTAAATTCCTTGCCTTTTTGTGCATCCTGGAGATAATTCTGCACAGCCCAGGTGAAATCTTATGTTACAGATGCAACACTTGACGCCTACATTACGTTTTCCCAATACTCCTGAACATTTGCCACACCTCTCCAATGTCTGATGTATTGTATTGTATTTGTGCTTCACTGTATGGATCACTTGTTGATGTCAGTCCTTTTAACTCTTCATAAAATTATATGTATATATTTATATATATAATATTTATAATATTAATGAACAATGAACCTGATAGTACTGAACAATGGCCTGAACAATGATAGCATACTTGTGAACAACACTATAGTATACTTGTTATTGTTAAGGCCTTAGTGACCTTGCAGCGGCTGATTGTCCTTAAGTTAAACTCCAAACCCAACTAAACAGGATATTTACACCGAGTTTACCCCGCTTCTCGGTGAACATTTACAGTTGACTTTTGTCCTGGACAATGTTCATGGTAAACTTTGCTGGTTGGTCAGCAAGCTATTTTGGTGACGAAAAATAACCCTCCCGCTGTAGAGTAGCCTTAAGCCCAACACCAAAATTAATCCAACTGTACCTAATCAAATATATGGTAGTTGGCAGTTCACTCCACTACTGCAACACTCATCATCGTGCAGCTGGCACTTGATCAGGGGGTATAAATAACCGAGCTGAGGTCAGACCATTCAGTTGGTGTTTTGATTTCGTTCCTGGTTATATAACTAGTTAACTAATAGACAAATGTGAGGAAGTTTCCTTTTTCTTAGTTTTCAGTTTAAAAAAAAATTCACTGTTAGTCTAGTTTTTGAATATTTTTATTAGTAGGTTTGCTATATACATAGTTTTAAATGTTTAGTTTTTATGTTGTACAACTTAATTTAACGTCTCGACGCCGTTTACGTGCCTAGCCTTCTAGGTAAAGTTTCTTGGATAATATTTCTTAATAGTTTTTAAGAAAAAACTTAATGTGAACGAACGCTTAAAAATTTTCTTTCTCTAGTTACATGTTTTATGTACTTGGCACATCAATGAATAGTCGGTAGGCTTTTAACACTAAAATATTCTTAGATGTCGCCCCGTGGTCTCATCATGGCAGCGTTACTGGTTATCAGTACACAACAGGATGTAACTCTCCCAACTGAGACAGGCTTTAGGCCCCGTCCAATGGTGACTGTCTCGCCACCCACAACTGACAGTAATACTACCTTGCCTGCTTCAGCTCCTGGGTAAGTATTCTTTAACTTCACTAATACATTTCCCACAAGTACCTTGGCTTAATCATTTAAATACTACTGGCTCGAATTAAAATTCTTAAAGCTCCCTTCACTAATGTAAATGATCATTAACATGTAAACTTGTTTGGTGCTCAAAATCCACTTAACTTGAACATGTAGATTAAAATTCTAAATTTGCATAAAACACGCAACACTTAAAGTGGAACAGCTCGGTGTTCAGTTGTACCCTGAACCTGCAATGTACATACAAATATAAACATTCAAACCGTGACCTCAAACATTTTTAGGTCTCAATTTCTACCTCTCCTAAATAAGTTACTGTTTCCAAACAGGTCTTAAACTAGTGTAAAGCCTAATAAAAATTTCCCACAAGTTCTTGACATTAGTGTGAATCTATTCTATTAAAAAAAAAATCTAGTTTGTTAAATTCTAATACAAAGTATGAAATTACATTATACTTGGCTATTGAGCACATAACTGAATGTACTTAAAATTTATAGACCTCAAATTTGCATTCCTCGAGGTAAACTTCTCATTTAATATTAGTGACCATCCTTTGGACCACTCTTCATCTCTACTTGCCTACTAATCCTCTAAAAGGGGACAACCTTAACAAATTCCGTAGGATTGACGCTGTAATAAACTCTGACGTTCTTCACAGAGGTGACGTTGCCTTCACAGTGAAAAAGGCGGCAAACTTAACTATGACCCTACCAGCTACAGTAATATTCCAGGTATATAAACGAATTTAAAAATCTTAAACTGTTGCCATCTTTTTGGGAAAGTAAAAATAAAAAAATTAAAATAAAACTAACCTCTACAGGAGGTCGTAACTAATGCTGGTGAAGCCTGGCATCAAAACTCCAGCGAGTTCGTGGTACCAGTTGATGGAGGTTATTTCTTAACCTTTAACGCTGTTGGTGGCAACAGTAGCGACTTCACGTAAGTATCCAATTTGAGGTATTGTATCGCTTGTTATATAATAGTGACAAGATTTAATCATTTTACTTGTATTCCCTTTTCAGGATGGCTCTGCTAAAGAACAAAGTTCCTCAAGTGACTGCATATGGAACGCTAAGCCATTTTGAACACTCTTCTAACTCGGTGTTCTTGGAGCTCCACCGTGGTGACGTGGTGTCCCTGCAGCTGCAGGAGGGCATGATCTACGACCACCCTTTTAACGAGACCTACACCACATTCACTGGCTTCCTTGTTTATCATATTTAAAGCTTGTTATTTCTAAAGGGATTAAAATATAGTAAAAAAAAAATGTATCTCTATATTGCTTCTTGCTGCAATAGTAGGCGAGCGCCTACTTTATTGTGCACCCCATACTCGTGTTATGAGCGGTGCCGCAAAAGTATTAGGGCACAAGTCTTAATCAGACCTCTACCTAAATTTTGATAAGATTAAATTCATCCACCACAACTTGCAATTAGTGACGGCTGGTTACAGAAAGTTCTCTAGTGATGTATAATTATATGTATGTCTCTTTCGAGAGCTTGAAGAGAAATTTGGAGATGTATAATCATAGCGATATACATAGATGTACAATGAATAAAATCTTCATTCATAATGGTGTCTCGTATTGCTAATAAACAATAGTGTAGTTTCAAACGTGTATTGGCAAAGTACCACTCGGCAGACTAACAAACATTGCCATAGCTCGCTTAATGAAGAATTCGCTACAATTGTCTCTCGGTTTGGCTTGTCGAGGTCTATCGAATACTTTTGACATCGTTCGCTTTTTGCATTTGTTCTCGTATTGGCATCCTTGGTGATATTTAGTGCCCCCTTAATTTTTCACATTTGATGGTTCTACATGGCCTTCCCGGTTTGGTGCCCCTCTTATGATAATTACTTACTTGCCTTGGGTTTCCACGTTTGGTAAGAGATCCAGCAGCTAACCATCAGATGGTGTAGTTGTACTATCCCATTGCTAAAATTATTACAGCCCTTCCTGTAACAAGTTGTGTACTTGTCTGGAAAATTGTTTAGCCCACTGCTGGAGTGGACTACTAGTTCTAGAGAACGGGAAACTGCACTTCTCTTGGTAAGTAGTTTGTCAGCTGTTCCCTCCCCCCTCCACTCCCTGATCAGTTTCTTGTTGCCTTGAGGGGGGACTTAGTGGGTGGCTGCAGGCCTTGTACTCCTGCTGCTGTTTGCTGTAATTGTGCTGAAAGACATTTCTTTTTTTCCTTCTGTTCGTTTTTTTTTTTCTTCTCCCCCCTTCTCCCCCCCCCCCCCCCCCCCCCACCTTCTATCTGCTTGTTGCTTCCTTGACTCGTATACCTAGAGCTTTTACACCTCCTACGGTTCTAAAACACCTTTTCCTTCTGCAGTTTTCTTCTTCTTCCTCCCGCTCCGTTTCAGTCTTCACCGATGGGTCCAAGTCTGCAGACGGTGTTGGCTACTGTGTATCCTAATTGCATTTGTCGCTTATCTCTAGACTAGCATCTTCACAGCGGAGCTTTATGCTATACCCTTGTCTCCTGCTCTCTCGTTGTCAATCTTCCTTTGTAGTTGTTGTAGACTCTGGTGCCCTCTTGGGTCCTTTAATCCAGTGGTTGTAGAGATCCAGCATTAGCAGTTTCTTGTTCACAGTAAATTAAAGTCTGTTTTATTGGGTTCCCACCCATATTAGTCATCTTAAATGAACGTGCGAATGCTGCTGCCAGGAAAGCCGTCCGCTCTAGTCTCGGTAAGGTATTCTAGTTCTTGGTGATATTTAGCGTCCTCTGATTATTCTGCGCATTTAATGGTGCTACATAGCCTTCCCGGTTTGGTGCCTTCTTTTGATAATTACTTTATGCTATGCCCTCGTCTCCTGCTCTTTGTCAGTCTTCCTTTGTAGTTGTTGTAGACTCTCGTAGTGCTCTCATGGCTCTTGGGTCCTTTAATCCAGTTCATCCAGTGGTTGTAGATCCAGCATTAGCTGTTGCTTGATCACCGTAAATTAAAGTTGATTAAATTTTCTTTGATTCCCAGCCATATTGGTCTTTAAATGAGCATGTGAATGCTGTCGCCAGAGAAGCCGTCTGCTCTTGTCCCATCTCTCGTAAAGGTATTCCTTGCTCTCACTTTTACCTGGTTTTCCATTCCTCCATACTTACCCGTTGGCAGGCTTGTTAATCTGTTTCCCCATCCGGCCCGTTAGCACCGTGAGGGGGTTTAGTGGACGATTGCCGAAGTGTGATGCTCCGTGGCACAGTCCAGTCCTTTTGTGGCCTTGCACTCCTGCTGCTGTCTTCTCTAATTGTGCCGGATTGCTTTTCCATGTTTAGTTTTTCTCCCCTCTTCTCCTATCTGCTTGTTGTTTCCAACCGACCCTTTGCTTGTTTTGGTTATTCCTTTGGACTTCTAATATTTTGACGCCCGGGTGCTTGAGGAGGCATACTCTTGCACCCGTAGAACTGTAGTACCCAACGTCTAGAGCGAGGGGAACGTTTTATTGTCAATCCCCCTTTCGTCTCTGAACCCGATCTCGATGGACTGACGGTTCTTAAGGTGGCGTTTGTGGGGCGTATACTCACGACACACCCCTAGGGGGCTCCGGCATGATCAACGAAAGCTTCATTAGGTGTCCTGCCTCTAATTGTGGCTCCATGGTTGGTATGAGGGTACATTCGTGGATGAATTTATCACTTCGTCTGCATGTCATTGAATGTTTGTTGTACCCTCTCAGTCTCATGGGGTGGGCGACCAAGTCCTCGAGTCGGCATGGCTTGGAAGGCTGGGCTCTGTAGCCTCCGCTGCGTTGGGCCCCGACCATGCTCCTGACTAATTCCCCCAGCTCCCCTCCCTCCCTCTGTGGTTGGGTCGAGCCTCCAGCCACCAGTGATGACCACTTCGTCCCCTGGTGCGGCTAAGAGTGTCTCGTTGTGACTACTGCTCCTTTTGTCCCCTCTCTGGGGTTCTCAACGCCGTCCGCGCCACGGTCGCACTCGCTCGATTCCTTCCCGTACTGATGCGTATCAGGCCTTGTTTGGTCCTGGTTCATGGGCCAAATACTTTGATCTCCTCCCTCTTGATTCTGCACCTGACGATTTCTCCCTCCATCAGCATCTTGTTGATTCCGTGGATGAGTCTGTTACCTTCAACCCCACTCGTCTCGGTACACGTGTCATTGCTGCTTCTCTTCAGGATGCAGCTTCCCGCTTGGCTGCCTTATCCTGCCTTGGCGAGATCCCTGTTCGGGGTCTCAAAGAACGCTCGGTTGAATGCCAGTGTTGGCACAATTCTCTTCCCGCCCCATGTTGCAACCGGTGTTCGGAATCTGCAGGACTGCCACGATGACATTCAGCATATCCTTGATGCCCAAGGCCATTCTGTCCGCCAGGTAGACTCGTTTACTCGTCCCCCTCGTGGTCGTCGCCGTCAACCCCTTCGGGTTGTGAAGATCACCTTTGATGGTAGGACTGTCATTCTTGCTGGTGCTAGGTGGTCTGTCCAGGAGTATATTCCTACTCCTCGGCTTTGTAATAAGTGCTGGAGGTTTGGGCATGGTGCCCTCCGCTGCTCTGGGACTGTCTCTGTCCTTTGTGTGGGAATGAACGTCACTCTAAGTCGGAGTGCACTTCTCCCCAGGCTCGCTGCCTCAACTGCGGTGAGGCCCATCCTACCTTCTCCCGTGCCTGTATCCATTACAAGCTTGAAGCGGCCGTCCTCAACTTGAAGCACTTAGAGCGTTTATCTTTTCCTGAGGCGAGGCGCCAGGTTGCCGGCTCCCGCCATATGCTAACGTCTCTTATTCTCGCGTGTTGCGCTCTTCCTCTCCTTGTCCTTGCCCACTGCCCCCTCTGTTCTTTTTTCTGTCCCGAAGGGTCCCCTATCCTGGTCCTCTGTCTGGGGTTCCCCTTCTTTCTACCCGGTCTGTCATGTCTCCTGTGTCTTCTTCCTCGTCTCCCTCCGATCCTCCCTCCCATCCTCCTCCATCTATTCACTCTCCCTGCCGCCTGTCGGTGCAGGCTGATGTCCATCGCTCTCCTAACAGCCATTGTGTGTGCTCTCGTTCAGCTTCTCCTGTTGAGACGCTGGAACCTGTTACCCAGTACATAGTTGCTGGGACACTGTTCTCTTTAAGTCTGAAGCGTAAGCCTGGCTCCTCTCCTTCCTCCTCCCCGGCGGGTAAAAGGCTTCACTTTCTTCCTCGGCCCCTACCACTGGCTCTATTGCTCCTTCCCCTCCCATTTCAGTGGTTGCACCCCCTGTTCCTGCTATGGAGGTTTCTTTGGCCCCCGCTTCCCTCTCGGTCGCTGTCCTTGCTGAGGTGCGCTCCCTGCTTTCTACTCCCCCTCTTCCTGCTGCTATCCTTGACTGCTCCTTTCTGTTGTCTCCTCCTCTTCCTCCTCCTCCTTCTCCTCCAGGCGCCTGCCCACCTCTGGTCTGTTCTCCCGCTTCCTTCCCTCCGTCTTTGCTCAGTTTACGCATGCCCCCCAAACCCTGACTTTGCTGACCCTGATATTCTTTTACGTGCTCAGTTGCTCTTTCGCATTTGTTTCTTCCTTGTTCTCTGTTATTGTCCTTTCTCTTCTCGTCGATGTCTATTCTTCAATGGAACGTTCGAGGTTATTACGCCAATTTCCTTTGAACTCCAACATCTGATTTCGCGGTTTTCGCCCCTTTGTGTCTGCCTCCAGGAGCCGATGCTTGGTGCTCGTCCTGGTCGCTTTCGTAACTATTCCTTTCTCCCCCCCCCCCCCACCAGCTGTTGCTGGGGCTCCTAATTCTTCTGCTCTCTTGATTCGCTCTGATGTTCCCTTTGTCCCCTTTTTTTTTTCTTCGCCTCTCCATTGTTCTGCTGCTCGTATCTTTGTGGGAATATGGTATACAGTTTGTTCCATTTATCTCCTCCCGAGTGTCCCGATTTCTCTTCCTGATCTGAAACACCTCCTGGACTCTTACCGGAGCCTGTGCTCCTGCTGGGTGATTTCATTTGTCGTCATTCTCTTTGGGGTGATGTTCTGACGAATACCCGAGGGCGCCGTCTTGAGCCGTTTATCCCCTTTTCTTCCCTGTCTCTTCTGAATTCTGGTGAGCCCACTCATTTGGACTCTCGGACTCGCACCCTTTCCTGTCTTGATCTTTCTCTTTGCTCTTCTTCTCTTTACCTTGATTTCACGTGGCAGGTTCTTGATGGCCTCCATGTCAGTGACCATTTCCCCATCCTTGTTTCCTTTTTCTCTTTTCGCCCTTCCCTCTCCTTCCCTAGGTGGCAGTTTGCTAAAGCGGA